ATCACATCATAATGACTTTGTCTTTTCTTATTGTACCTGGTGAATATTGATGAATAAATAATCTGAACAACATCTGTGCTAGTTTTTGTCTTTATGTAAAGCTGGAGCTCACTTCTGTACAGGAAATAAAACATTTTAAACAAAACTGACATTCTTGTGTGGAATAGCTAATGATGGTTTGTTTGAAAATTGAAAATACATTTCAACAGAAGTTGTTTAGTAGAAGACTTCTGTAGAAATGGTAAGTGGCCTGTTTTTAATATAGCACCTTCAAAGCTTTTACAACCCCCAAGGCACCTTACAACCCATAGGTATTCACCCACACACACACACATTCACACATTGGTGGTGATAAAGTACGATGTAGCCACTGCTGCCCTGGAGATCACCGAGAGGGGCAAGGCCGCTGAACACAAGTGCCACCAGTCTCTCCGCCCACCATCAGCAGGCAAGGCAGGTTAAGTGTCTTGCCCAAGGACACAACGACTTCAACAGGTGGGGCTTGAACCTGCAATCCTCCAGTTACTGGATGTGCACTTCGCTCTTCTGTCACCATTGCAGAAGTTGAAGTATTATTTCCAGCCTCGAGTAAAAGTAAAGATGTATTGGTTTCAAAACTATTTAAAGTAAAAAAGTAAAAGTAACATAAAAAATCAAAAAGGCCAATAGAAACAAAAGCTTTAGCCATTCCACAGCACTAGCAGTTACACTTTCAATAATCTTTATTGGAATGTAAATATGTAGATCCAGCAGTTGCAAGAATCTGTGAAGGCAACAGGCGATAAAGCACCTTAGTTCAATTAGTTTAAGCGAAGGTGGTTACGCTCTCAAAATCCATGATGACAGATCTATACTCCAGGTCATTCCCCTCAGACACACAGCTGACAATGGCCAGACTACACCTATAACATCACCAGCAGCTGTCACCTCCAGAATTTACTGATGACTCAGCCTTTGTCCGTTTTGTGTCTGAAGGGAATGACCTGGAGTACATGAACTTTGCTGACTGGTGTGAGCGTAATCACCGTTGTTTGAACACCAGTAAGACAAAGCAAATTGTGATTGACTTCCAGAGAAATCCTACCCACCCACTGCATTGCAGTGTGGAGACCATGGACAGCACCTTCAGAGGCAGTCTGAGATATCCCAGATGTAAAACAGAATGCTGCCGTAAGTCATTCATCTCCTCTGCAGTGTGAGTGTATAACTCCTCATTTTAGCTGGTACTGGCATTATCCTGGTACACAATAACATCAATGCAATATTAAGTATGTGTTCAATACTTGTGCAATACCAGATTTACATACAGTAGTATATCTGTGTCCTTTATGTGGCATAGTTCTGGAAACCCAAGTTTGCTTTTTTATTTGTTGTTTTGGTGGTTGAAGTTTACAATAATATCTTATTGCCTTTGTGTGTTTGCCTGTAATCTTGCTATTATTTTTCATCTTCCTTTTCTCTAAGTGGATATGCTGCTGTATGAAGTGAATTTCCCCACTGTGAGATTAATAAAGTCTGTTCTATTCTATTGGACTTGTGTTGTTTTCATTGTACAGTATACATTAGTGATGCCAAAAAGGAATGAATGTCCTGACTGAAATGTGATGTGGTTTATATCAGGTGTAGTGTGTGATAGATCACACATAAACCAATTGGGCTTCAGAATGGTGGATGTGTGAAATTACAGTGGGATGCAAAAGTTTGGGCAGCCTTGTTCCTTTTGGAGTCACTGTGCATCGTTCAACTGTTTAGTGCACTTTACACAAGGAGATGTTGTACAACCAGAGCCACTTGAGGTATGCTAAAGCACATTTGGACAAGCAAGCTTCATTCTGGAATAAGGTGGACTGATGAAACTAAAACTGAGTTATTTGTGCATAACAAGGGTGTTATGCATGGAGGAAAAAGAACACAGCATTCCAAGATAAACACCTGCTGCCTACAGAAAACATGGTGGTGGTTCCATCATGCTGTGGAGCTGTGTTGCCAGTGCAGGGGCTGGGAATCTTGTTAAAGTTGAGGGACCCATGGATTCTACTCAGTATCAGCAGATTTTTGAGACCAATGTCCAGGAGGAATCAGTGACAAAGCTGAAGCTGCTCTGGGGCTGGATCTTTCAACAGGTCAACAACCCTAAACAATGCTCAACACTTACTAAGGTATTCATGCAGAGGTACAAGTAGAACATTCTGGAATGGCAATCTCAGTATCGTATTAACCAAACTCAATCAGACTGACTCTATCTGGATGGATTTCTTTATCTGATTGTCTGTCTTTGTGATTTCTCTATCAGTAACAAGCTGAAATGAAATGATAGTCATGTGGTTGTTTTTAAAATGTCCTGAATAGAAGGACAAAGTCAACCATTAGATAATTACTCCAGGGAAGTAAAGATATTCCACATTTCTAAAGTAAAGTAACTAAGTATTTTTTGTTACATGACAGCTTTGTTTTTGTTACTTGACACCTTTGCTGTGTGTGTGTGTGTGTGGAGTCTTTACTTGTGAAATCAGGTATCTCTCAAATGAAAGCACAAATACGTTCTGATTACATTTATTCTGATGAATATGATGATGATGTCTAATTTGACCTCAGAAAAAAATAATAAACACAACTGGGTCTAAAGTGAGTGCAAGCCTTTGGGTGGAACTAATGTTCTATATTTTCACCTATTTCTTAGATGAAATAATTTTCATCTTTTAAAGCTTTCCACACAAGAATGTCAGATTTGTTTAAAATGTTTGATTTCCTGTTCAGAAGTGAGCTCCAGCTTTACATAAAGACAAAAACTAGCACATATATTGTTCAGATTATTTATTCATCAATATTCACCAGGTACAATAAGAAAAGACAAAGTCATTATGATGTGATAGAAACATTAATAATTAACAAATAGAACCACGTGTCATTGGTTCACCAACACGTTCATTGGTCCATGATCCAGGCTGGAGCTCTAGGACCTGCTGGATGTCTCTGGTTGGCTGTCTTCTGCCTGTGAACACACACTCTGCTGTGTTTCCTCCTCCGAGCTCCTCTTGATAGGCAGCTCTCGCTCAGCCTGTTCAACACTTGGAACTTTGGCTGCCTGGATGTGGAGCTTTCCATCTGGAGAAAGGGAGCAGCTGACAGCTTCATGGTTCACCCCTTCAGGCAGATCAAACTCCTGTCTGAACTCCTGGAGTCTGTAAGAGTAGGAGCCTTTCCCGTCCTCTTGCTTCTTCTCTGTCCTCCCACGGACTCTCAGCTTCCTGCCCACCTGCTGAACTGAAAGCTCCTCTGGAGAAAAGCCTTGAGTGTCCAGTGTCAGGCCAAATTCTTGTCCCGCTTTGTCCAGCTGGTAGGAGACTGGTTTGTGGACCAGTGTGCTCCTGAAAGGCTTTGTGTCCTCCAGGATCTGGTGTTGAAATCTGTCCATCAGCTCCAGGCTGTTGCGCATCTCCTGTAGGGTTCTCTGGAGGACATCCTGCTGGTTGAACAAAGGTCTGACCTCTGGCCACAGACTGCGAACAGGCCAGTAGAAGTCCATCATTGGCCTGAGTGCAGATCTCAATGCATTAGAAACCATCATGGTTGCTTAGTCTTCTGGTGAGAATAATCCTTGTTCAGCTATTGGTTCTCTTCTGTTTAGCTTTCTGTCTCAGCAGTGGGAGTGTGTCAGCTTTATATTCTAACAGGGGGAGGTCCAGAGTCTTCAGGAAGGTTCTGGCCATTACTAGACATGTCCAGCAAGTGGCGCTGTTTCACAATAGTTCATGACGTTTCTAACCATTCTATTTACAAACGTTTGTTTTTCTTCCAGATGTTTTCTGCTGCGTGCTATTTCAAAACAATATGCAATGCCCCAAATCAAACCAGCTCCAGAATCAGGTCAGCTTACTTAAGTAAATGCAGTTAGTTACAAAATTACATTTCTTTTATCTCAAGACAAACAGAAAGTAAGTCTGGAACAACAAATCGATCCTCATAAAAGGCCACCATCTAAAAGTTTTTATAAAAAATGTGCCTCTGTTCAAACACACCTGATTTTAACTGATTAAACATTAACAGCCTTCTGTAATCTTTTGTACAGGTAAGGCAACCACTGAATCAGGTGTCTTGAATCAGGGAAGCAACTTCTCTGTGGCCTTCAAGGACTTGGACTGGACACCAGATCAATTTCTTCATTTTATTTTTAAAACTTCAATGCAGTATTACATCCGAAGTCAAGAATGATAAATCCTAGCAGTTAAATGTCACACAAGCAGATGGTAAATTTGTGTTATCCCAAATGTCCACTTTGTGGTGTTGTGGTCCCAACAGTTGACTTTTCCAGATTATACCGGATCCTTCTGGAACTCTTGCATTTGCATGACTTTAACATGCTCAAACCTAATATGAGACACAGAAATTATTTAGCTGCTTACTCTTTTAATGTCTTACAACCTTAATGTTGTTCATTCTTCTTTATTTCGTTTACATGTGAATCGTGAAGTAGCTCAACAGGAAGGAGTCAAACCATAACACCAGTGTAATAGTAGACCATTTCAGAGTTCCTGGCTTCTTCTTCTGTTTCCTGCTGACTGTTTAATGGTCCTCCAGTGGTTGTCAGATGGACGTATTTGCTACACATGCATTACTTCAAAGCCAGTGTCTGTTGCAAGATCAATAATTAAGGCTAGACATGTATGCAATGTAATATTGAGGAGAGTGGAGCGCTTCTCTGGTGGTTTTCAGCCTTGCAGCCCTCTTAGAAAGATGACATGGGGTAGTTTCTTCAGAATAGAATAGAATAGAAAAATTATGGAAAATGTTTTAATTGCACAGATTATTAATTAACATTATTCAAAGAAACAAGACTTTATAACCACGGTTTTGTAATTGATAAATTTATTTAAATTATATAAAGATATTATTTACTTAGGATTATATTGTACATGTATGTAGCATCTGAAGAAGAAAGGAACGCTTTCGATGTTCAAACACAAGTAAACTCACTTTGGAATTAGGATGAAACCATCATCTTGAGTTGCATGAGTTTACTGTACATATTACAATTACTTGTCAAACCTTAGTGACAATGTATTTTCTGATTCTTTCTGTTCTATTTCCATTTTAAAGTTGGACACTGGAAAAAACAATAGCTTTCACTACAGTACATATACAAATAAATTATTAAATATATTTTTTTTTAAATAAATAGTCTAAATAATCTATAGTGAATGGCAAATTAAAGAAAAGCATGCACCGGCAAACAATCAACATTTGTTTTTACAAAAACACGGTAAAATGAACATTTTAATGTCTGCACAAGACAGTCACTAGTAGAAAGATTCATACCAGAACGAACAAAAAGTACCATGTGTTCTGTAAAGGTCTTACAAAGTACCCTTTGAGGTAGAGCAGTTTCCTTCAAGTTAAATGACTATTCAGGGGGAAAAAGGCTCATTAACTGTGACCTTAACATGGTACTGCCATCTTGCATCATCCTTGATGGTGTTTTGACAGTGTCACCTTTTTTCAAATGAGTGTGGTGAGATAAGTCATTTATAGTGAATCCTATTTGGTTAGCAAATAACTTTCAGCATTGACTGTGCAGATTCTGAAGCTGCTTCCACAGTAATAACATCTCTTTCGGACTTCGTCTGTGAACAAGCAGAACTGATTTATATGCACAGGGATTGTCCTTGTCTGTAAAAGAGAGATCAAAAGTTAAAAACCCCGGGTGATGGCTCGGAGTGATCCCTAGTCTGTGCAGGCACATGCCAAGATACACGTCATCAATTGGGAAAAGACGGACCCTCTCAGACACCTCTGTCAAACGTAATGCTAGTGAGCCAGAATACACCACCCCTCCCCCTCCAGTATAAGGTGGATAGGCACCTTTGTAGAAACTTTCTGGTATGTAATATTTAGCAGATGGCTCACGGTTTGGCATTGCATTACTGATCAAATCCCCTACAAACAAATTCAAGTCTGTTTCATTAGTGTAGGCTCTCCACAGAACATGTTCCTCCCTCACCTTGTGCAGGTAATCCAGAAGAGCATCTGTTCGAACAAAGACATCATCATCGCCTTTGAAGATAAAGAATGGTGTTGGGCAGTACTGCTGGAGCCATCGCCAAAGCAACAAGTCCTTCAGGGTTAAATTGAAGAACGTGTCTCTGAAATCCCATTGAAGAATATCTCCATACTTCTGGTTTTCAAGATCCAGGAGGTTTTGAAGATCTGGGTGAGGACCTGTGCTCGAGTCCTGTCTTCCAAGCAGAAAAACTGTGCGCACTAGTCCCCACTTTTTACTTGATTCCCCTTTTACCAGACCGCTATGACCCCAAGTTTCACGTATAGCTTGTCGGTTTTCAAAGTTTCCGACTTGAGATTTGATTGCCATGAAAAGCATCGGGGACTCTATTCTGAAGTTGTTCCTGCAGAGATTGGGCTGATTGATAAGGAGTGGGTACTCTCTGCAGTGCATTGACCCAATAAATTCCCTGATTTGCTCAGGTAGATTGTCTTCATCATGCACACGAGGAACTGTACACTTGCGTGACATGCAGTTGGAAAGACATTCATCCTCGATTTCTGTTGAAAGCCGAGCCTTTGATTTGCTCATCATTCCAGATGTGTTTCCTCTCAAAATGGGATTGTATTGACGGTCCCAAGCATGCTGCAACTGGTTCCATATTGCACTGTCCTCCAAGCGAAGGCTCCAGAAAGGGCTTACTGGATGAGGGGCTAAAGCAGCAGAGTTTGTTGAAATCCCAGGAGCAATGTAGTGAATAGTTATTTTTGGAGGAGAGTGAGAGATGGTAACAAATATGGACACCATGATATAAATCACAAGGTGACCAGTCATCATACAGGGCAGCAGACACATGCACAACAGTCTCCCGTTGCACTTGCAGCATCTTCCCATTTCTAGACATAAACAAGTCAGACACACCTATGCAAAGAAAAATACAGTATTAATGTTTTTCAGTGATCAAAACTGGATTTTATTAGGCTCTGTTCTCACATCAGTTGCAACAGCAATGTGATAAACCCCAGCAAACACTCAGGAGTTTATGTCTCCTTGGTGATGATCCAGTGGGGGTTATTAGCTGTACTTGTTCACACAGCCACAGCATCAACCTGTGAAGCTGGATGCTTGTTTGTAGAAACACAGACCATTCTACGGAAAATGTGATATCAAACAATTCCCTCCTCCATGATGTTTTTTCTCTCACTCAAATAAACTAGCAGGCTAATTCAACATCCCAACTTATTCCCACATACTCGTAACATAGTCTATTTTTTGCCACTCGTTAGTGTTTACAAAACTAATATTCAGGAAAATAATAGAAGGTAAGCCTCAAACTTACTCACGATCAGGAAAGATGATATGCATTAATCGATAGTATTCATTCTGGTATTGTTTTCATCCGTTTTTAACTGGATACCCGAAAGCACTTCTGTCCACCATAATTTCTATCCATAACAGATGGCGTTTCACGATGCTCTGTATCAGCAGAAGCTGTGTAACAAGTGTCAGGTTAAGAAACCTGTGCGCATGCGCTCTTTGGATCTTAATTGAGGGGAAAAATACAGGGATGGCGGGCTTGACCATATTTAACTCTGTAAATCCTCCGACATAGATTATGATTTGCATCCACGTTCGGCAGGTGAAATTTGCATGATACTGCCAGAGTCGACCCAACCACATGTCATTATTATAAATGTTATTTTACATATAATTTTCTATCTATCTATCTATCTATCTATCTATCTATCTATCTATCTATCTATCTATCTATCTATCTATCTATCTATCTATCTATCTATCTATCTATCTATCTATCTATCTATCTATCTATCTATCTGATTACTAAAAAACGTTACAAAAATGCCTTTGTGTAGAACAATATATGACAGACGTACCATTAAGCTAATAGAAATCCAGAACGGTATTGACGATTTGTTAGTTTCCTGCTTTTAGCCAATAGAAATAGAAAATGGGCGGGATGTAGTGGTACCTCTTAACATTCATGTCTTGCGAGAGGAGAAACATGTTTGGTTGAGTGAGGAATGAGTGAGGGGCTATCGTTCCGGCGAATCATAGGTGGAAATTGTCCCTACGCACGTTTTTAAATTGAACGACGTTTTCCTAACAGGTACCTGAATGACCGTTCAACCTTATTTCACCTTGCTGTTGGGTAAGTACTCTTTCTAACCTTGAAAGTGATTAGATTTTTTTAGCAACATAACATGAAACAAACCTGTTTATTGGTCTCTGGGCACTAAGTAGCAAGCTTGCTAGCATATTTTTTTCATACTCTTTTGGTGGCGAAGGGGAGAAGGAGCTGTGGGGTTTCAGTCGTTTTAGACAAAATAAACTTTGGTGTTTTAACCGTACACATACTCAAAGAACATTCAACAAAGACGTGGCTTCGATTATATGTGAATTAAATCAGTCAACACTCACGGCTTGTTTTGAACCCCCGGTAATAGCGTTAGCTTATTCTTCCCTTCGTGTGTGTTTTTGTGGAGGACGTAACCCAAACACACAGTTTCTCACACTAAAACCAGACGCTGCTTACAAAATAACGGTGCTCGGGTTATCCACAATACTCTGATAGCTGCACTAGAATGTGGAGATGTGTTGTAGACGCATCACGTTTCTTTTCCTCATGTTTCTCTGACTTGCATCGTGACTTTGTTTACTGAAGCTTTCCGCTTTTAACGTTTTCCCCTGTTATTTCCAGCTGCCTTTTCAACAATCAGTCATTAGCTGAAGTGGTTAACTTTCTTGTATGAAAGCAATGGAGAAGCTAATGCACTCTATCTTGATCTATGGTGTTTTTCATCTAGTAGATCCAGACACTTCTATTTGTTTGTTTGTATTTCTAACCATTCCAAGGGCTAAGCTAGATTAGCTGTTTAGAAATTGTTGTAAACCTGTAAGATACTAGCCTAGTGAAATAGACCAAATTCTTGCTTTGCAAAGTTAAAATAATACATTTATTTAGTCTGGCTTGCCAGGCTAGTAAGATATATCAGTTGGAATAATAATAGTATAAAAAGATTATTTTTTTTCTAAGAAACAGCTTGTATGTAATACACACAACCCATCAAATCTTTCATGTCTTCCTGTTGAACTGAAAGATTCTTCATCACATCAACACTGCTTCAACCTAGCAAAAAGTCCAACATATGCTTTGGCAACAGTCTAATGTCTCATAAAGGAAAAAACGTGTTTATCATCTTAGTTCGGTTGAGACTAAATTAACTTAAAAGTCCAATAAGGAAGAATTTTACAGTGGAAAAAAAATCACAAATCAGTCTAATGCAGAGGGGGCAATACATGACGACAAAGTCTACCCTTTTTTCCCCTAAAGTCTACCTGTTTAACTAAATTTTAATTTCCTCATATGGCTCTACAAACCTATTATCTAAGTCAGCCGATAGTTTTTCTAAGCAATGTGATTCTTTTGGCCCTTCAGCAAGTTAATACTCAAATATTACAGTAAAGTAAGTAAATCAGAAACTATTACCTTAAGTGTAAAACAAATTCAAATTTTATTTGTCACACACAGTCATACACAGTACGAAATGTAATGAAATGCCTTACACAACTGCTTGTGACCTAAGAGTTGAAAATAAAATAACTGTACACCACGAATTAGAATGAAGGGTAAATTTAACTGGGAAAGAGTAAGGTAAAATATATCTGAATTAAAGTTGAATAATAGAATAGCTGTACAACAAAATACACAATACAATACAAATTAGAATAAAAGGTAAATTTAGCTGGGAAAGAATAAGATGAAATATATATAAGTTGAAGTTGAGAATAAAGTAACTGTACAACAAAAAACACAGTATGGAAATGTATAAGAATGTATGAAGAAAAAAAAATATCTATACAATAACAGCAGCTGAACAAGTATTAAATGGAAATGAAAAAATATAATGTCCAGAGTTGTGCAAACCACATTGTAAGTGACTTCTGCAGTGCAACTATGCTTAAGCAAAGTCCAGACTGTCCAGAGTGTGTGAGAACCATATGTGAGGCCACTTACTATTTGGTGTTGTGATTTAAAGACCGTATCGCCTGCGGGAAGAAACTCCTCCTCAGCCTCTCTGTGTTGGTCTTCAGGGAGCGGAATTGTTTCCTGACCTCAACAGAGAGAACCGTCTGTTGTTGGGATGGCTGAGGTCCTTCACGATCTTCCTGGCCTTGGTCCAGCACCGCCTGCTGTAGATTGAGTGCAGGTCAGGGAGCTCGGAGCGGATGGTGCGCTCAGCTGATCGTACAACCCTCTGCAGAGCTCGTCTGTCCTAAATGGTGCTGTTCCCGAACCAGGTTACGATGTTCCCCGTCAGGATGCTCTCTATGGTGCACGAGTAAAAGTTCCTGAGTAGGGCTGCACAGTATATCGAAAAATTATCGTCATCGCGATAACAGGACGTACGATAGGCCCATCGCAAAGCACGTAAAAAACGGCGATAAATGTTTGGTTCAAACATTTCCATCCGTGTCATACATCAGCTTTTTGTAAACCAGCTCTGTTTTTTACGCGGAAGTATTATTTGACCAATCAAATGTAGTCCTTCTGATATGCGGCCAATCAGATGGTTCCATTCACGTAATACGCCCGCCCCTACGTAGACCCTTACCCCAAAATTCCACTATCTCCTCTCCGCCCCCGCTTTCCACTGCTGCTCGCTTCCCTTGTTCGTCATGCTGGCTCAGAGCAACGAACACACTTTGTGCTGAGGTTTCTGGAATCAGCGCTGCTTTCAAACGTGAACGTGAGTCCGCTCGGTGTCGTTAAGCAGCTGATAATAACCGGGCTGACTCCGATACGTGCCGGTGAACCAACCCACCTACCTCCATGTCGCTAGTGTTCCACCGGGTGGTGGCGTTAGCCCCAGGCTCCGGTTAGCTTCCAGCTAAAAGGCTACAGCACTCTCCTCCAAGTCCCACCCTGCTAGAGGGCCTGAAAAAGTTCCCCCACACATCAAAGTGATTTTTCATTTATGAGCTTTTATAACCTTGTTATTCAGGATAGTTGATTTGCTGCTGCACATAAACTGTCAGTCAGAAGCTCTGCTAGCTGGTTGTCTTAGAGGAGCTAGTTCAATTTGTTAGCTTGTTATCACAATCATAGTTGCAGTTTCATCATCTGAGCTGCTTTTTAAGATCTAGCTAAACTTGTTCAATTTGGGGTTAAAAACAAACGTTTTCAAATATTTTCCATGTAGTTTTTTTTGCCAGTTCCTCTTCTGAAAGGTAGACAGTTGTTTTTCTCTTTCCCTCAAAAAATCTTTATTTTCTCCTAGTTTGGCCCAGCACAGTTCACTTCCCAATTACAGCAATAGCCTTATATCATAACCACATAAGTGGAGAAAATGTTCAGTAGCAATGAGAGAAATTGTTGTTGCATTTAAGTGATGTTAACTATTATTTAACATTTAAACTTACTTTCAGATTTTTTTTATTTCTTCAAATAACCCTGGTAAGGGATGTTTTTCTGTATTTGGAGCATCAGAAAAAGTTTTATGGTGGCGGTGATGTTTTAAAGTCACTGAGAAACTGCATGCATGCAGTTTGTTGTTTTGCTACTAATACAGTAGCAGGTGCAGCTGCATATTTTTTCAATAAAAATGGTATGTTGTAATGGAATTCATGCATTAGTTTGTGTTTGCTTTGAACCCAGAGCAGACGTCACACGCCAGACGACATCAACACTGCATACTTTAGTATTTGTTCATTTATCGTGAGTAATATCGATATCGCAATATTAAGCACTGTTATCGAATATCGCAGGTTTTCCTTATATCGTGCAGCCCTATTCCTGAGCACCCTGGGGGGCAGTCTGAAGTCTCTCAAGCATCTGAGGTAGTAGAGATGCTGTCTGGCCTTTTTCATCACAGTGTTGATGTGAAAGGACCATGACAGGTCCTGTGTGATGTGAACACCGAGTTATTTGAAGCTGCCCACTCTCTCCACTGGGCACTCGTTGATGACAGGGATCTGGTAGTTCCTCTCCTGCTTAGTACTGAAGTCCACTATCAACTCCTTCGTTTTACTGACGTTTAGAAGGAGGTTGTTCCTCTGGCACCAGGTCTCCAGATTCCTAACCTCCTTCAAGTAGGCCGCCTCGTTGTTGTCAGAGATCAGGCCCACCACGACGGCATCGTCGGCAAACTTAATGATGGTGGTGGAGCTGGTACTGGCCACACAGTCATATGTGTACAAAGAGTACAGCAGGGGGCTTAGAACACACCCCTGGGGGGCTCCAGTGCTGAGAGTGGTGGAGGCTGAGACATGTCCGCACATCCTTACTGCCTGTGGTCTGCCAGTTAGGAAGTTGGAGATCCACTGACACATAGATGAGCTCAGTCCCAGGTTCTCCAGTTTGGTGGTGAGTGTGGAGGGAATTATGGTATTAAATGCAGAACTGTAGTCGATGAAGAGCATTTGAACATAATTCCCCCTTCTAGTGTCCAAGTGAGTGAGTGATGTGTGGAGGAGATGACAGATGGCATCGTCTGTAGAACGATTTGGACGGTAAGCGAATTGTAGTGTGTCTGGTGGTGAAGAAATGAAGTCTCTGACCAGGCGTTCAAAACACTTCATCACTACTGAGGTGAGGGCTACGGGGCAAAAGTCATTGAGAGAAGCAGGGTGGGGTTTCTTCGGGACAGGAACAATGATGGACTCCTTGAAGCATGTGGGGATCACCGACTGAGATAAAGAGATGTTGAATATCTCAGTGAACAGAGAAAGTATATTTAAAAAACAATCAGCAATAAATCAGATATCTGTACATTTTTACAAAAGAAAATAGGGTTCTGTGAATTGTTTCATCAATCTATTAAGTTTTCACAATCTGGTTTGTTGCATTTTGAGTAAAAGAAATAAAAGTTTCACAGCGAGTAGTTTATGCCACAAGCAAAGATTTTGGAACGTGTTCATTTGTAATGAAACTTTGCTCGTCTGTCTTTCAAAGCAGCAAAGTGATCGATGACCTTCTCATTGAAGTCAGGCATGGACCAGACTAGCTCCCTCTCTATGGACAGCATGGCCAGCGCATCAAGGCGTTCCTGGCCCATTGAATTTCTCAGAAATGTCTTAATTCTTTTGAGAGTTGAGAAGCACCTCTCAGCCTCAGCTGTCGTCATTGGGGTTGTGATGAGGATGCTCATCAAAGCGACAGTCTCAGAAAACGTGTCCTGGAGGTTGTATCTCATGAGAAGCTGATACAGCGCCAGCGCACCGCAGCAGCTCCTGAACTCAGGGTTCTCATAGACCAGAGATAGTTCTATCTTCAGTTTGTTCTTGTTGAGCATGGGGTATGCCTCCACCGTGGCATTCAGAGCACCCGTGGGAAATGTGTGGCAGTGCTGCTCAAACATTTTTGCTTGTAGCAGTGTGGCACTGACCAGGTGGTTGGTGAAGGAGAACCTCTCTCTGGTGTGAGTCAGAATGGTGTTGCAGATCTTCTCCCACAGCCTCTGCTTCTTGTCCTCTCCCAAGGCCGTTCTCCGTCTGGTGGTGGTTTCTGTGGCCTCTTGCTGCTGCTGTTGAGATGACTGCCTGATGGAAGACCAACAATGCCTGTTAGTAAATCCAAATGTCAGAGCAAACAAAAAAATTAGACAGAAGAACATGACAACACAAAGAAGTTTTATGCATCAAAAATAAAAATTTCTCTGACTTGAGTGTGAAACAGCGACATGGAAAGTTTGCTTATAATATAATAACTTTGAAGTGTTTTGTAAATGTCACATGGTTGTCTGATATGACCATCAAGTGACCGATAAAATGCTGATTATTTTGTGCTTTGGTTATAATTCTGGTTAAAGGGCTATTCCACCTCTAAGTAAAAATTTACCAGCTCTCAAAGGTAGAAAGCTCAGTTTTTAAACAACTAGGGGTGCACCTGTCGATCGGCTAAAGGTCGAGTACAAAGGTCAGTCTGTGGTTTCCATTCACTTGCCTCACATTGTAAAAGGGAATCGGTGATCCAACTTCAATTAATTGCGTTAATAGGTTATAAGAAATCAAATTGAGTTTGTCCAAGTTAAATTAATAGATCAAATTAGGGCTGCACGATATTAGGAGAACCTGCGATATTCGATAACCGTGCTTAATATTGCGATATCGATATTACTCGCGATAAATGAACAAATACTTAAGTATGCAGTGTTGATGTCATCTGGCGTGTGATGGCTGCTCTGGGTTTAAAGCAAACAAAAACTAATACATGAATTCCATTACAACATAACATTTTTATTGCAAAAATATGCAGCTGCACCTGCTACTGTATTAGCAGCAAAACAACAAACTGCATGCATGCAGTTTCTCAGTGACTTTAAAACATCACCACCACCATAAAACTTTTTCTGATGCTCCAAATACAGAAAAACATCCCTTACCAGGGTTTTTTGAATAAATAAAAAAAAAATCTGAAAATTACTTTAAATGTTAAATAATAGTTAACATTACTTAAATGCAACAGCAAATTCTCTCATTGCTACTGAACATTTTCTCCACTTATGTGGTTATGATATAAGGCTGTTGCTGCAACTGGGAAGTGAACTTTGCTGGGCCAAACTAGGAGAAAATTAAGATTTTTTGAGGGAAAGAGAAAAACAACTGTCTACCTTTCAGAAGAGGAACTGGTAAAAAAAACTACATGGAAAATATGTGAAAACGTTTGTTTTTAACCCCAAATTGAACAAGTTTAGCTAGATCTTAAAAAGCAGCTCAGATGATGAAACTGCAACTATGATTCTGATAACAAGCTAACAAATTGAACTGTAAGAAAATATCGATATGGCAATATATCGTGATCTTTTTTCCAGCAATATTATATCGATATTCAAAAACTGTGTATCGGAAATATCGATATGGCAATATATCGTGCTATTTTTTCCTGTGATTATTACATCGATATTCAAAAGCCGTGTATCTAATTCTTGACAGAATTTACATGCAAACTTTTGTGTATTTTCTTTTCGTTTTGTGCAATTCAATCGCCACCCGCTAGTTGGCAGCATTGTGAAACAGGTTTTGTTTCCACCAATGAACTGTAAATCCCTCCATCACGGTTCAGATACTTCATGTTAAACATGTTACATATCAGTTTGGACTTTATTGAACATTCTTACAATAAATTCAGTAAAAAAAAATGCTTGTAACATCTGACTGAATGTATTGCAAGATATCGTGATATATCGTATGGTCTCCTCTGTACCGTGATATGTATCGTATCGCCAGAATTTAAAAAATACACATCCCTGAATTGAACTTAGATAACCGGCTAGCAGAGGTTCTGACTGACAGTTTATATGCAGCAGCAAATCAACTATCCTGATTAACAAGGTTATAAAAGCTCATAAATGAAAAATCTCTTTGATGTGTGGGGGAACTTTTCCAGGCCCTCTTTAGCAGGGTGGGACTGGGAGGAGAGTGCTGTAGCCTTTTAGCTGGAAGCTAACTGGAGCCTGGGGCTAACACTAGCGACATGAAGGTGGGTTAGTTCACCGGCACATGTCGGAGTCAGCGCGGTAAAAATGATTAACGACACACAGCGGAGTCACGTTCACGTTTGAAAGCAGCGCTGAATCCAGAAACATCAGCACAAAGTGCGTTTGTTGCTCTGAGCCAGCATGACGAACAAGGGAACAGCGTCGCAAACTCTGTTCGGGTGTTGCTTTCCAAAAGGGTCTATGTAGGGGGCGGGCGTATTACGTGAATGGAACCATCTGATTGGCCGCATATCAGAAGGACTACATTTGATTGGTCAAATAATACTTCCGCGTAAAAAACAGAGCTGGTTTACAAAAAGCTGATGTATGACACGGATGAAAATGTTTGAACCAAACATTTATCGCTGTTTTTGCCGTGTTTTGCGATGGGCCTATCGCACGTCCTTTTATCGCGATGACGATAATTTTTCGATATATTTTGCAGCTCTAGTAGAAATTAGACTAGGGATGCTCCAATCACATGATTTTCAAATGATCAGAATTGAGTAGAAAAGAGCAGATACACTAGGGATGTGTACCTTTGACATTTGAAACAATACAGTACCAATTCCCGGTACCTACGAATCGATAACAATTTTCAATACTTTTGACTGTTTAATAATTATTTAAATCACTTTTTAAATTAAATATATATTATTTTCTCAATATATAACCATATTTGGTAAAGCATTGCTTTGTGCCACACTGAGATGCTTGTGGAGAGAACGCTCTTTACCAGTCCTCTGTAGGCCCGTGTGAGGGTGCTGTGGCTCAGGCCTGCTTTCTTAAGAGCTTTTATCAAATAAAGCTTCTGTTGCACTTTTCTTTTACTTAAGGTTGAGAATGAGCTTGTTCTTTTCTTCGTAGGCTAAGTCAACAAACCATACACAAGCCATCATGTCCTCGATCCTTCCATTCACTCCTCCTGTTGTGAAACGCCTCCTGGGATGGAAGAAGACTCCAACAGGGAGTGCAGGAGCAGGAGGAGGCATCGGAGGTGTCGGGGAGCAGAATGGAGGAGGGCAAGAAGAGAAATGGTGTGAAAAGGCAGTGAAAAGTCTGGTGAAGAAGCTTAAGAAGACCGGTCAGCTGGATGAGCTGGAGAAAGCCATCAGCACACAGAACAGCAACACCAAGTGTGTGACGATACCCAGGTGAGAACAGGAAATGCACTTTGTTTATGTATTCTCTGCATGGCTCTGGACCAGGTAACTATTGTAAATAAGATCTGATATTTCAGTGAGTTTTCACCTGTTTAAATAAAATGTTAATACTGTTGATTTTTATACATTAATGCTGGCAAACACGTCACAATGGTGACTGTCACAACACCATTTTGTCTGAAAATATTTAGGGGGATAGGTCTGCTTCTGATCACTTTTCTTTGATATATAGTCGTGTAGACTTCCAACAACTGAGAATCCCAAGCATGGTGTACAGCTGATACAAAATCCCATTTGCAGTTTGCATGCACTGGTCTGCTAAGATGGAACATATTTTGAAAAAGAGTGTGGAGTTCATAAACAAAGGAAAGTTTCTAATAACCAGTCATGTGCACACGAATGGTCACAGGAAGTGAAGTCGCTGTTGTGCAACAGCAGATCCATTTCCCCGTCGTTCTGTGCCATAGGTTTGCAACTTAAAGCAACAGAAGTGAAACCTGATTTGAGGAAACAGATGCTCCTTAAACAATGTCTACAGAAATCAGCTGGCTTTTTGGTCTCAAATCAGGAATTAATTTAGCAACATCTAGGCCAACCTCAAACTATGTTAATCAGAGAAGTGTATCAGACTTGGCTGGAGAGGTGTTGTTTACTTTGGTTTTACTAACATCTGAATAATTTAATCCAATGACAATTTTTAGAGTAATCACCTTTTAAGCCTTCTGTGTCACCAACATCTGTTGTTTTAAGGGAAAAAAGTCATCAACACTGAGCTGTTGAGACATTCATTTGATTGCCTCATCACAACAACACGTGCATCATTTGAATTATTACATTGTGTTAAGCTCAAGCTCTGTAGTTGGCAAACCACCCCAATGCTGACACTAATTCAATGTCCCATTTTGTTGTTAAAATCAGCGCTATTTGGCCTCTGTTGTAGTGGGGATCCAACAAGAAATCATGCAAACACATCTCTCTCATAATAAATGTGAGTGGATGAACTCTTGGCTGTTAAAACGTGAGCGGCAGTGACCTTCAAAATAAGGAATATAAACTCTTTATTCTAACAATGACTCTTCAGATCTCTTATTACTTTGGAGTTTGGTTTTAGGGAAAAATGACACCTTTGTTAAGTGAATTTGCATATCTGTGCTTACCCAATGTGATACCATGTTTCTACTGATCTTTATCTTGTCAACAGGAAGACTTTTTTTTAAATAATGTAAAGTTTTATGGTAACACTTTACAATAAGGGTCTCTTTATTAATGTCAGTTAATGCATCATTAAGCATGAATAAACTATTAGAGTATTAACATCTGCTTAACCATGTTATGTAATGCATTACTAAGAAGATCCTGGGTCAGTCAGGAGTGTTATAAAAAACTACAGCTTCAATGGTCAGGTGATCGCTTTGTTTGAAATCACAATTTTGATTGGGAAAACGGCGGATCATTCATATCTTTGTTGATTTAACTTTTCAGTACATCATTGTAGTACATTGATATCTACTGTGAAGGAAGCTATTGCAAACTTTAACATAAATGGTTAAAAAGTAATTGAAGGTCAATGGAAAGTAGAATTGTTGAGAAATATTAGTTTTATTTCCTGTAGTTTTATTACTTGGGTATCTGATCGCAAGTGAAAGTGTTTTCAGGGCCAGTTATTACTGGTGCTATTCGTCCATACTAGTCATGTGGCTTGTTTTTGAGTTTGTTCTTATCTGTATTTGGTTTTCCTGTCCACATTTGAATTCTAAACTTGGTTCTAACTGCAGACATGGTTTCTGGCTAGATGTTGACTCTACAAACCTGGTAGAGACTGAGGTGCAAGTGTTTAAAAAGGCACAGCCGTTTTCTGCCCTCTGGGCTCTTGATGCATAGTTGACTTCCCTTTGAACTCAAGGAAGTTTGCCTGATAAAGACCAAGATAAATAACCTGGCTCTGGTTTTGTAGTTGTCTTCTTTGGTGGGTGGAGGTTGGGTGGAGAATGTACAGGGTATCTGAAGAATTGTGAGGTGATAGCAGGTGTATAGATTTCTGTTTGAGCAGAGGTAGGAAATGTGTCAATTGAGACTGAAATGGTGCAGAACTTCACAAGAGTAAGTTTAAGCTTCAATGTTGAATGTCTTCAAAAATTGTAATTTTCATTGTTTTGCTGTGCAAAAATCCAGTTTTACTTAGATAAATATGTGGAGTTCACTTTTTTAGCTTTAATCACAAACAAGCAGCTCACATTAAAGGCTCTTTACAGAAGGGCTATTCAGAATCAACTTTACTGTTAGTGCCCTAGCGTCCTGAAGCATAGAAATTTGTCTCTGCAGTACAGCCTGACCAAGGTTACACACATAAAACATGTAGAACAAAACAGATGCAGGCAGGCCATGAGAGCTGCCATTCAAGTCCACTTAACTCCCCTGCAATGGTAGCATTGAACCCACCTTGCCAGCTGGTGGTGGTCGGTGGGACCGGTGCCACTCCTCAGCAGCCTTATGTTTGTCACTACTCCAGGGCAGCTGTAGCTACATTGTAGCTCTTCGCCACCAGTGTTTGAATGTGTGTGTGCAGGGGTGAATAAGATTGTGTTGTATAGCACCTTGGGGAGTTGTAGAACCCTAGAAGGCACCATAAAAAATGCTATAGTTGGCAAACCATCATTCCTATTTATTGGAACTATGCTTGCTGCTTGTAACAGCAAAGATCAACGAGTAAGTTGATGGGTGTTGAGATTAGAGACTGTTGTACAGGCAGGCATGAACAATACTTAGATCAGGCAACAGAATCCCTTTCTTTGTTCTAACATAGGGATTCAATTTAGAAAAAGTTCATTTGTGTCAATTTCTTTTCATCCTCATGGACCCATCATTGTTTAGTCTGATCTGTGTGTGAGCATTTTCCTGTCACACTTCTCTTTTCCTACTAACGCCCATAAATGTGAAATTGAGAGTTTAATTAAAAACAGGTGGACGTTTCTGGTGAGCTCAAAAGATGTTTTGGCTCTCATCCGAGAAACGTCTTCAGTTCTAAAACTTAGATTGGGAGTAAGAGGCGACGGTGGCACAGGAGCTAAGTGCTCGCAGCGTAATTGGAAGGTTGCAGTAGGGCTGTAGCGAAGCCTCGATGACGTCGAGGGCTCGATTCTAAAAATTCGTCGACGTCAGATCCGGTAGTCGACGCACCGCGCCCACTTGTTGCATCCCCAGGAGTTTGTAAATAGAGCTGGAATCTGCCTGTTTTTCCTCTAGTTCGCCCTCTTCTCCGCCTTCACTAACATCTCCGCCAAATACCAAAGACCCGGAACAACGTCCGTCCGCTACTAGGTTCCTTTCGTGTTTTGCCCGTCTTCGTCTCCCGGCAACGAACAACAACTTCCGGGGTCAAATGCGCTGCTCTGTCTCTATCGCAGATGTAGAAAATCATCGGGAGCGTTTCTCCCTTCATTAAGGAGCTTCTTTCAGACATTAGGAGAGCTGTTTTGGTGGTAGCAGTCTCTCCTCCGTGCTGGTCTGTTTGCTGCTGGGTGTTTTTGGTTTATTTAAACTTGGTAACTTGAACTTAACGTTGGTAAAGATACTGTTAGCATCTTCGCTAACAGCTTCTTGCGTTTGGATAAGCTGTTACGTTTTGGTTTAGAGTTCATCTTTTTTGTGGTGCAGATCTCCCTTTTATTACATTTAGAGTGTTGTGGGTTTTCGGTTTAGTTTAAAATATCACCTGAGTTTGGTTTAACCGCCCAGTTTAGAGTTTGGAACTTTGGAGATTCTTATTTTGGTCCAAAACCCTGTAATCTTTGCCCAGCGGGACACCCCTACTTATTTGTACTTTTGTTTTAATTCCCCACAGGCAGAATTAGTTTTATTACTCCCAACCTGTGGATGGAAAGATTTTTTTTTTGTAGTTGTAAATAAACCTGATCATCATTTTAACTTTTAAATCCCACATTACTGTCCCTTCCTTTTTGCACACGAGTCAAACTCCCCAGGAAGAGTCGTAACACCACTCACCTCACGCACATAAGTGACCAAAACAAAGCAGCATGGAGACACTCCGTCTCCAACCACCTCTCAGGCAGCAGCCTGCACTCCCAAGTTCTACACGTCACCAGAACATAACCAACCAACACAATAAAAGCAGTGTTATACAAAATGGGAGGCCTGTAGTGTTTATTCTCTTACAGTAACAATTAATCAATTTTTTGGAGGAATTTATTAGAGATTTTTTGGTTTTTATTAACTGTGCAATAGAAAAATAATCATTAGATTAATTGTATAAATAGTCATTAGAATAGTCGACTATTCGATAAAATAATCGTCAGAATAATCGTTTTAAAAATAATCGTTTACCCCCTGCCCTAGGTTGCAGATTCAAGCCCCACTCAGTCTGTTGCTGTCGTTGTGTCCTTGGGCAAGACACTTAACCCCCCTTACCTGCTGGTGGTGGTCGGAGGGACCGGTAGCGCCTGTGTATGGCAGACTCGCCTCTGTCAGTGCGCTCCAGGGCAGCTGTGGCTATGATGTAGCTCATCCCCACCAGATGGCTGTGTGTGAATGGGTGAATGACTGATAATGTTGTAAAGCGGAGGCTCCAGGACCAGAAGGTGCTATATCAGATACAAGCCATTACTATTTAAGAGGCTTATAAGTTAGAAACAAACACAATAGAAGCCACTAATAAGGCCATTTTTGTTACTAATGACTAACGAGGCCATCAAGGTCATATAAGTCTCAGGCCTTCTGGTTTCACATACATGTGAAACATGGAAAACCAACTTTGAACAGAGGAGGTAAACTCAGGTTTCATCCTTTCAACACCTACAGTACAGCCTTAACTTGTCTCCTCAGGAAATTAAACCGAAACTCACTCCTTGAGTCATGTGACCAATACTGTAGACATTCAGTTCAATTCAATTCAAAAATACTTTATTAATCCCAGAGGGAAATTGATTGCTGTAGTAGCTCAGAATAATAATAATAATCAAGTCATCAAAGAGTTATTGTATATTACAATGGCTGTAGGCAGGAAGGATCTCCAGTAGCGGTCAATGTTGCAGCGAAACTGAAGAAGCCTCTGACTGAAGACTGGTTTGAATGTCCTCTTTCTCTGTCTCCGTTTTGCTCCCGCTCTGCATCCACGCTTCTTGCGTTTTAGCTCATTTGGGATTTGTGGCTTCAGTTGAGGTATTATGTCAGCCTTCCCAATGTTAATCAGCTGCCCCGATTGTAAACCAGCTTGTTGCCATGGTTACGCATCATAACAAATGCTCACAAAGTGAAAAAAGTGAAAAAAATAGCAGTAAAAATCCTCCAAGCTTCACAGCACCAGAAACAGAAAAGTAAAATGTTAAAAAAAATACAGTTTTTCTTGAGAAACTAGAAGAAAATATGTCCAAGAAAAGGCAAAACTTACATATAGTCAACAGAGCTACTCCAACATGCAGCCACCCAGAGCAGCACAGTTCCGGAACATGTTGTCTATGTCGGGGACCCACTAGGATAGTTGGCACCAACGGTACTAACAGAGATTTAGGAAGATACATATTTGTACAATAAATCATTCAACATGTTGAACCCTTTACAGGCCACTCATTGAAGTAGCTTAAAATTAAAAATGTCAACCCCAGAATGTTTTTATAGAATATAACAAAAGTATTCTTTTGTTACAATTTTCTAAAATAGTTATTACCATGCAAGAATTATGAGAAAACAAAGTGATCACATATGGAAGGTGGCCCTGTTCTGGTAAAATAAATCCCTAAATAAAATACACGAACAAGTAAAAAAAAACCCATTAATTTTTAAAGTATATATAATTATAAGACACTTATAATCTTCCTCCTCTTCATCATCATCACTGATGGTGAGTTTGGCTGGCACAGTAACTGTCCTCCATTTTCTTTATAGATCTTAGTTTATACCTGCAAATATGTTCAATATTGTTATGGTTATATTACTGTTACCATGTTTATGAAGATTATGTCTAAAAAACAACAAATTTTACCTAAAAATATTCATAATTTTATTTTTTCAGGGCGTATGTTCAAATTTGGCAGATTTAATTTTCATGCCGTAATTTCACCAACTTTATTGGGTTTAACATTTACAACACATATATCCTTATTTGGCACAACTAGTCAACCTTGTGATATGAGTTTCATAATCCTAGCACTGTTAGTTTTAGAGATCTGACCGTAAACGAGAGGAGACCGAGCAGTTTTCTGGCTCTGCAGACACAAGAATATTTGGCGCGTCATAACCCCGCACTGATTGGTGGAATGGCACAAACTATGACTAGCTTGATTCCTGATGATTGTTTGGGTAAAATGTTTTAATTCTCAGAGTTCGTGAAAAGGCACACAACATCATTTATGATGTGAGTTGAAGTGTCTAAATATAGACATTGGCCCTGTAAAGGGCTCAAAGTAATTAGTCTTATGTTTCACCAGATTGCATCAAATCACTGTCTGGTTTGCGTTTGTCACTTTTTCATGTCATTTTTTGATCTCTTACTTTAAAGCAGATAATGTTTTTTTTTTTTTTCATTTCTGCATTTCATGTCATTGTGAGACCAACTGTACACATCAGTGACATCATCATAAGTGAAAGCATCTCGTGTTTACCATCTGTTTCCTTTTATTTTGATCATTCTACTTTTGCATTTGTCTTGTGCGTGCGTGTGTGTGTGTGTGTGTGTGTGTGTGTGTACATGTGTGTGTTTGTGTGTGTAGCAATTGCTCAGACCTTTGGGGTCTAGGCTCAGGCCATACGATAGAGCAGTGGGACTCTGCTGGCATGTACGGATACCCTGACCACAGCAGGTGAATACACTCAAATGCACCATCCTACAACTCTCGCAGAAACTGATAATGAGTTATTGGCAGCAGTGTGTCGTGTATATGCACTACATTAATCTGAAAACATTTATAATACCATTACTAATACTGAGTTGTACTTAAAAGGACTAGTACAGCTTTCTTTGAAGTGTCAGGAAGTGGGTTTTCTCAGCAGAGTAGCACCTTTCACCCAGCTTGCTTTACACCATCACATTAGATAGAGGCACAAACAGCTAAAATAAGTTTTCATCGCCTCTTTTTAGACTTCTTCCTATCGCTATCATCTCTTTCCTAATCGTCTCAGGTCACTCGATGGACGTCTTCAGGTGTCCCACCGAAAGGGGCTTCCTCATGTCATTTACTGCCGATTGTGGCGATGGCCGGATCTTCACAGCCACCATGAGCTCAGGGCCATTGATGCATGCCAGTTTGCATTCAACCTCAAGAAGGATGAAGTGTGTGTCAACCCCTACCACTACCAGAGAGTTGAGACGCCTGGTAATAATCGTTAAAACAATCATGTTTTCATATTTAGTTTCTTTGATGGAACCTAATTTTGCTTTTGAGTTGTTGATTATTCCTTTGGCAAGTCTATCAACCGAGTGGAAATAAGTTACGATTACTGTGACCTGGCTGCTGGTCTAGATTAATAGAAATAGAAATTAGGCTCAGTGGTTTACAGTATTTCCATTCCTTATTTTCTCTGATTATACAGTTTTAATTGTCATTAAAACGTTAGCCATGTTGGTTGTTACTTCTCTCCTCAGTGCTGCCTCCAGTGTTGGTGCCACGCCACACAGAGGTTCTGGCAGAGCTTCCACCTCTAGATGACTTTACAAACTCTATCCCTGAAAACACCAACTTCCCTGCAGGCATAGATCCACCTAATAACTATATACCAGGTTTGTATAAACATTTAAACCTTTTACAATAAAAAAAGAAACCCACAAATGTTCTTTTCACCCTAAAAATAAAATTGCCCTAATTGTTACACCCTGGAACTTTATTAGCACTTTGTAACAAGAAAGAAAACTGCTTTTCGTGGTGATTATCATAATAAACACACCTCTTTTATTTAGTTTTTCCTTTTTATAGGATCGGTGGCTTGTCTTAAAAACATTCTTAATCACTTATTTGTTTCCAGACACTCCTCCTCCCGGCTACATGAGTGAAGATGGGGAGACCAGCGACCCACAAATGAATCAAAGTATGGAATCAGGTAGTTTAGCTCACTCTTGTAGGTAGGAGCAGCTCTAGGTCTCATTTCTCAAAGCAAATGTCGTCAGATCAGCTTTGAGACCTTAAATGCAACTTTTTGAGTTATTCTTGTTTGTTTGGAAGTAAAATCTAAGGATAAAGACATTTAATTCCTTCAGCTCAAAATGTTGTTTACTATCTGTAAACTAATCTCAAACGTAATTTCTTCAGACAAAATATTTTAACCATTTTCTAAAGGCCATAATATCTGAAATGTTTACACCTGTAAGGTTCTCCTGCTGAGATGTCCCCGAGCGCCCTGTCACCCACCAGCCATGGCCTTGGTAGGACTTAGTTGTTTTTTCTACGTTTACGTCATTCGTTCATTTTGCTCTACAGGCCTGACTAAAACAGAGTACAATTTAAATAGTTGTTAGCTTTAAGAAAATTAGAACTGGATGATTATAATTGTGATCATTCATGTCAGAGATTTGCATGAGTAAAATCAGGAGACCTGTACGGTTCTGCATTATAGACATGAATAAGTCCGCTTTGATTCTTTTTCAGACCTGCAGCCCGTCACCTACAGCGAACCGGCTTTCTGGTGTTCCATAGCCTATTATGAGCTGAACCAGCGGGTGGGAGAGACGTTTCATGCCTCCCAGCCGTCTCTGACCGTTGACGGCTTCACCGACCCGTCCAACTCAGAACGCTTCTGTTTAGGGCTGCTCAGCAACGTCAACAGAAACGCAACTGTCGAAATGACAAGAAGACATATAGGTAAAACGATGTGAATAGTGATTATTTTTTTCAATTGGATTTCAGCGTCATTGACCTTGTTTGTTTGTAACTGTGTAGGTCGTGGCGTCAGGTTGTATTACATCGGAGGGGAAGTCTTCGCCGAGTGCCTCAGCGACAGTGCCATCTTTGTTCAGAGCCCCAACTGCAACCAGCGATACGGCTGGCACCCAGCCACCGTCTGCAAGATACCACCAGGTTTATACACAAACATGCCAGTTCTTTTAATGATGCACAGTGTTCTTTACAGTTGATAAAAGTCACTTAATTTTTGGGGTCTGGATTTAAAGCTTTCATCCGTAAATGAATTCAAAATCACCACTAATAAGCAAAACTCCACATATTTTCTCACCATCCAAATAGGTTTGCTCCTGCAGCTGCAAATGAAGTAAAAGCTTGTTGAAAGCCACAGCGAGCCTCCACGTTGTGACAGTGTTTATCACACATTCACCCACACACTGACTCATCTGTACCCATGTTCGTTTGAACATTGGACGCCCGACCAAATGGGCCGTGTGCAGATGATCATTACTGAGCTTCAGAGCTGCACAGAAACTAAACACGAGGCTCTTGATGAAGGTAATGGTTAGTCCTCGTAAGCCTTCTGCAGGATGACTGATGATGGCACACCCACTCATCACAAAGCAGCTGCTTTAAGTATGTTTGTTTAAAGTGAACACAACAATTCAAAAGGAGGCGGTGCTTCATAGACAAAAGCTTGCATTTGCTTACTCGTCGTCTTCGGTGGGTTGATTTATTTGTTCTTTTTGTTTTTTAGGCTGTAATCTGAAGATTTTTAACAACCAGGAGTTTGCTGCTTTGCTGGCCCAGTCGGTGAATCAGGGGTTCGAGGCGGTGTATCAGCTCACCAGAATGTGCACAATCAGAATGAGCTTCGTCAAGGGCTGGGGAGCAGAGTACCGGTGTGTTACACATCATGTTCTTGTTCTGTTATCCAAAACAAATAGGCTTTTACTTCTTGTCCTGAAATCCACCGGTGTGTGTTCCTGTGAAAGTAAACAATTGCTGTAAACTCTGAAAAAGACGGTTACTCTTATTTGGCTACAAGGTCATTTTTGACATTGAGATGCCTTTGGAAGATAAAACACACACAAACAAAGCCTACCTTATGTTTACATTTCATTTAGTAAACAAACAACAAGCAAATTCCATTCAAAACATCAGGAATTTCCTCACAGCTTTGAATTGCTAATTCATTCAAATGTATTTTTATAGCACAGAATCAGAGTTGGCATGCGTCTGAAGCTTGTCGGTGGAATCGAGTAATATTTAGACATGTGGAACTTTTTCATCCAACACACTTATTTTGTGCTCACAGCTTTTCTTTACACTTTGCCAGCCAGACAGAAAGAAGTGTTTGTGGGAATGTTTTGGCTGGTTATCAGTGGCCAGTGTTACACGGCTGTGTTGCAAGACAGATTAGCAGTTTCTACTTGTCTCCGGAGCCCAGGCCAGTCAGGAGTAGACCGCTGAGCCAGGCATTGTGTTTGATCCTTTGGTAAACCTCAGTTTTACAAACTTCCACTTGTTTATTTTGTTGTTTATATAAAAATACTTTTAAACATTATTATTATTGTTGTTGTTGTTGTTATAGAGCTTCAAATACATTGTGAGTCAGTCTTTTGTGATGTCATATTTAGCAGTTTTTTAATCTACAAAGCAGTGGCGCACCATGGGGGGCACTATAGCTACCCCTGGATTAGTCATTGCACCCCCAAGTAAATATTAGAATTTTTTTTATTATTTTTTTTTTTTTACAATTTAATTTTAATTTAACGTGTGATTGTGATAATATTTAACATACAAAACAAAAATAATCAGTAAATTATCATATAGATAGTAAAAACAAACCGAAACAGGAAATTTATGTTAACCTGTGACCTCATTTTCCACCTGTGAAAGAGTGAAAGGTAGAGCTAGTGGTAAAATGGATCGCTTTTTGTTGCCCATATTTCCACGGGTTCAGTCAGAAACGAATGAATCTTTGGAAGTGATCTCAGACCCACAAAAACCTACGGATCTGGATGAAAAGAGTCAACCCTCAACCGCCGCAGCAGTCGAGGGTTTTGCTGCTGGAAATGCTAACACTAACGTTAGCTAACCTTGCAACACTATAGATGGTTTTCTGTGTGGCTGTATGTGTTTATGATTTCATGGAAAGGTCAGCGATTGATCATATGTTTATGATGTGTATTAATGATTGTTCCAGGTGTTGTTGAGGTGTTGTGCACACATGTGTATCTGCTAGTGTTGAAGGTGTTTTAGAGAACAATAGGTATGCATGACCACTTCCTTCATGGCACCCTCAATAAAAAGACTAGCTCCTTCATAGCACCTGCAGAAAATAATTTCTGGAGCCGCCACTGCTACAAAGCAGAGTTTTTAATCTCACCTTTGTTGTTTTATTCCTGCAGACGCCAGACTGTCACCAGTACCCCATGCTGGATTGAGCTGCACCTCAACGGCCCCCTCCAGTGGCTGGATAAAGTGCTGACCCAAATGGGTTCTCCTACAGTGCGCTGCACCAGCATGTCCTAGGCTAGAGTTGGACTCAAAGTCAGGCTGACATTTCTCAGCATTCCAATGGTTTGTTCTAAAGGAGACCACCATGCAGTCTTAATCAAAATATTTACTACATTCTAAAAACAAGAGGAAAGAAAACGGACCTCATCAGAGATGAGGGGAGTAGAATCAGTGGAGTTGAAAACCCGCCGGTTCTGTTTGTTCAACATCGGGCTGAACTTTTAGTTCTCATCAGCAGAATAATTGATTATTCATATCAGAAGAATGATGTAATAATGGACCAGGCCACATCTGGACTTTTCTCAAGAACCTGCAGCATCCTCAGGAACACCACAGTACTTTTGGGGATCCACCTTGTAATTATAGAAACCGACTGTCCATCCAGCAGTTCAGCTCGACTCTTCACTACATACCAACACAGCACAGCTCTGGTTTGGTTTACATGAGGTCGACTGACTACTGCCACTCCAGCTTTATGTTGAACCAAAGTCTACGTTCCACCTGGGCACAAAGTTCTTCTGTTTTACTGATTAGAGACCACCACGGTCTTCAGCTATAATAAACCCAAATAGTCATTGTTGTAATGGTTACAGATACACAATTACACATTTGATCAAATACTTTCCCTGGCGATGCTGGTTCTTCAGTCCTGTTTCTGTTGTGCATCACAGTAGAAGAAAACTCCAATTTCTTTTACTCTGTTTAAAACCTGACTCATCAGCACAAACTGATGGATAAATTGTGAAATTTTAATGTTAAGCTGGAGCATGCCAAATGCGCCTCCTCAGAGCCAGCCACTTTCAGCCTCGCCGCCTCTCGTCTGGTAGATGATGGAATATTTATCTCAGATTTTTCCCGTTTGCCCAAGATGCACAAGAACCTCAAACTGATGCAGTTTTCCAATTATTGAAATTTCTCTAGAAGAAGTCCTACAGTGTGGGACTTTAATTATAAAAGTTCCTATAAAATACTTGCACTGTCCTGAATATGCACCTCTAAGAAAGTTGCCTTCAAGAACAATATGAATTATGAAGATGGGAATGTGGACCCCCCCCCCCCCCCCAATTCACTGTAAACCTTTATCATCTCAGTCAACTCATTAAGTTGTTTTGTTTTGGTCTTACTGAGACTTGCGATCTAACACCAGCTGGTTTTTTTTAATATAAAACTTCAAGTTTTAAGTGCTCAACAAGCAGGTTTTACTACATTTATTTTCTTTACTAAAAAGTTTTAGTTACATTTTTGTATTTTTTTTTTTTACTATAAATGTATTTAAATCTTCAAGTTTTTTTCTTTTATTTAGATATCAGTATTGCTTGTTCATCTGATAGAAATGATTTATACGTAGCGTAGTCATGAACTGTTTCCTAGAGTCCACCCCTGGAAACATCTAGAGCTGTACAGGCTATGACTGAAGAGCTGGAATAACTTCTAAACACAGTCTGACTTCTTAAATTATAGAGGCAACGAGGACATTTTCATTGGTATGTTTAAAGAAAATCAAAACAGAAAACAGAGCGAGAGAGAGAGAGAGAGAGAGAGAACACAGAGATGTGACCAAAGATAAAGCATGTTATTATTTTTTTTTGCTTAAATGAAGGACTGCACACTGTATTAGTTTCCCTTCGCAGTTTTAGGTGACTGATTTGTTTTTATCTATGCTTAGGTGAGAACATAGCAGCTCAGCAATACTGTGATGTTTGTGTTCCAACAGTTGGTTAAAGTAATCAAAGCGTACCCTGACACTGGAGGGTTGGTTTGAGTTCAGTTTTACTTCATACATACACATGTCTTTATACTCGTTTGCAGTAGAAAAGCTGTTACCAGTTCGGAACTACAGCTGTTTTTAATCATTGTACACTGTAAACTTATTGTGAGTTGTTTACATGCACACTTTCTTTTCTGTGAAATATTTCATTCAGTGAAAGTACAAACAAAAGATCTTTAGAACATTTTTGGCGCAGTATTTCGTGTCTCAACTGTAGTTTCACTTTTTAAAACTAAACCTAATTGTCTCTGCGCATGTAAACCGATTCACCTTTACTCTTTTGTTAATTGCAAAGACAATGTACATTAAATATGTCTGCAAACGCCCACGTGATGTAAACATCACCTGTTGCTGCAGTGATGTTTACATGGAAGCCCATTCCTGTGAAAAGAAGGGTCCACAATCTCTAGGTTGTGCGGTTTGATGACATTTTCCTGTTTGGGATGAAAACAATTAACTTTTGTTTGATCCGGGTTGATTATCAGTAGTGTACTTCTCTTAAAAACTGGATGAAGTGACTTCTGACCTGAAAGCATTCCATTACTGATGTTTTCCTCTTTTCTTGTGTTCAGCCGTTGTTTTTGTTGAGCTGAAGCATGTTTGTCTTTTGTAAGGTTGTCGACGGCCATCATGTTTGTTCTATGCATTGACATCAAATAATTTAAATTGCATTAACATAGTCTTTGCTCACTGCTAAACTATTTTGTGCACATTGCCAGGATTGCGTTTTATTTTTCTTCAAAATAAGAGCTTCCTTAGATTCTAGTACAATAAAGCCAATATCCCCTCCAAATGATGTTTTTGTGAAGGACGCTTTCTGAAATCCACATTCCTGCAGACCATGCTGTGTTTCTTCTTATTGTGATGACAATTATGCATTCTAAAATGAAAAAAAAAAACCCTTTCTGATGAAGCACCATGAAAGAGGCTTTTTGGAGAAAGTGAAGTTCCTTACATGTCACTTGTGATGATGTTATGTAGTTATACTTTTTATTTCCTGCATACATGTTCTTTCTGCTGTGGACAGAGCATTTTCACTAGAACACAGCTTGTTGGGATCTATGTATCCTTCCAACACTGATCTTCATGAGATCTCCTACATTTGCGGCCTCTTACAGTGTACACTAATAAAGCTGTTTTACTTCAGCTGGAGTGTATTATTTTTTTTGTTTGTTCATTGCTCTTTTTTCACTTTAATGCTCGTTTTAAAAAATAGGATGTGTTAATGCAGCGATGTTCATTTTGACGACTGGCTCAATATTATCATTATAAAAACAAAATAGTTTTTAGTTGACAATTATTTAAGGTAAAGCATTGACTTTTAAAGCCAGATCTTTAGTTTTATCAAAGGTCAATGACCTCAAATTCCCTGCAAACAATCGTCGCATGGATGTGCAGATCATGTCTATATTGAGTCTGTTGGTCCAGACAACTTCTGTAGGATGTCCAAACTAGGTCTTTACACAGTAGGTTAGATTTTTATTACCCTCATTGGTGTGAGTTAGAATTTGGCTGTCAAATTTAGCCTTTTCTGCAGGAGATGTACAGTTGGATGTCATCTGCATAAAGATGGTAGGAGATTCCTTTGAAGTAGCTCAGGATGTGCTGAAGAGGAAGCAGATAGAGGAGAAAGAGCAGAGGCCTCAGCACAGAACCATGTGGGACACCATGGGAAAGGGAGGTGGTGGAGTACCTAAACTTGGAGACGGCCACAGAAAAAGAGCGCTCAGAAAGATGAGAGAAGAACCACTCCAGACCAGATCCTGATAGGCCTACCCAGTCTCTCAACCTCTCCAGTAGCAGGTGATGGTCAACAGTGTCAAAGGCTGCAGTCAGGTCCAGCAGGACCAGAACATAACAGTCCCCTGCATCACTGAGTCAGAAGGTCATTAGAGACCCTAAGAAGAGCTGTTTCAGTAGAATGAGCCCTACAAAAACCTGACTGTAAGCAATCATAGATGTTATGTTCATCAAGAGCAGCTGTGAGTTGTTTAGCCACAACCTTTTCCAAGATCTTGGAGATGAACGGAAGTTTAGAGATGGGTCTGAAGCTGCTATGGAGAGAGGGGGCAAGACTCGGTTTTTTAAGAAGCGGGTGGATTACAGCATTCTTAAAGTAAGCAGGGACCTGACCAGAAACCAGAGAAGCATTAATTATAGAGATCACGCTGGGGCCGATGGACTGAAAAGCACTTTTAAACAAAGATGAGGGTAAGATGTCGAGGGGGCATGCAGAGGTCTTCATAGAGTTAACTCGTTTGGTTAACTCAGGCAAAGAAACAGGAGCAAAGCTATCTAGGATGATGGGCCTGGTTGGAGTCGGGAGAGGCGGCGATAAGGCTGAAGGAGAGATGCTAGATCTAACCTTATTGACTTTGTCCACAAAGAAAGACAGAACGTTCTCACAGTCTGCAACGGACTGGATGGAGGCTGTAGGAGAGGCAGGAGACACGATGCTGCTGATGGTGTTAAACAGCACCTTGGGGGTTCCCTCTGCTCTGGGGCACCAGGTTGGAAAAACAGGAAACCCTAGCATCTCTGACTGCAGAGTTAAAGGATGTCAGAAGATCCTTTAGGTGCAGCAGATGGACGTGGAGATGGGTTTTCTTCCACAAGCGCTTAATTTTTTCTGCATTGGCGCTTTAGGCTGCGAAGGCTGTCATTAAACCAGGGAGTAGGGTTCACTGCAGGAACTGATCTGGTTCTGACAGGACAGATGTTGTCCAGAATGGAGAGGCAGTGCTTGTTAAACTGAGAAGTTAAGGAATCTGGGTCGTTATCAGAAGAACAGGGTGGATCAAAAGCAGCAGAAACATTGCTAGCTGTGCCCTCATCAAGAAAACAAGAACAGGCGAGCAGGAGGTGGGGACGCAGAAACTGACAAGTTAAAGAAAATGCAATGGTGATCAGAAACATAAATGTCCTCAGGACAAACACTGTCAGCATTTAGACTCAGAGTAAAAACAAGGTCTAGAGTGTGCCCCCTGGTGTGTGTGGGCCAGAAACATGCTGGGTGAAGCTGAAGGAGTCCATAAGGCTGGAGAAATTCATGGCAAAGTGATCAGAGGGATCATCAACGTGGATGTTAAAGTCACCAATAATCACCAGTCTGGACAGCTTCACAGTGGAGGATAGAAAGTCACTAAACTCCTGAAGGAAAGAACTGTCTGGACCAGGTGGACGATAGACCACAGCACAGTAGAACGGGTCCTTACGCCCATAGGCGGAGATCCCGGGGGGACGAGGGGGACGCGTCCCCCCCTCACACAATGTTGTTGTGTCCCCCCCCCATAAACACATAAATGCTATCAGTAAACCTATATTGTCTTCTAAAACCACAACGTAGTTAGTCTGCAAATACAAAACAATGTGTTTTTAATTGTTGAGAAATTATAGTCCCCCCCCCCCGCCCCCCAATTCCTCAAGTTGGTATGGTCGGTCTCCACACGCACTGTTTCCAATGGGCGGGGCTGCCGGCTCTGCTTCGCTCACAGCTTCACAGCAGCCCGCAGGCTCACAGGAAGCGGGAATCAAAAAGCCAGCAGTTTCCAGCAGTAAGTAAAATAATCACACGCTTGTTCTACAAACTTAGATATGTATGTCAAATGTGGTCATAAATGTCGAACATAGACACCGATTATCTTTAGATTTTGATCACCGGTCGGAGATCCCTTTATGACAGACCACCACCACCACAGTAATAAAAAGTTGTCACTTCATGTTCTCTGATCATTCCAGGATTATTCCGCTATTATTCCATTCACTAAGGTGATCAAAAGTTCCTTTTTCCGGACACGTACGCTTTCACTGTGTGCCCCTGGAACCTGCGGAGCATTTATAGATCGATGAAAATGTCCGTGTTTCATCCTATTTAGCAGATGAATATGGTAGAATCAAAACTAACTGGTCCGATGTATGGAAAACCACAGCGTTTAACCGCTCTTATCCCGTCTTCCCCAGGCTCTGCAGTTGTTTACAATATGTCAAAGTGCATGTGCACCGTGCAGCTTAGGGATGAACTGGTTGCAGCAAATGTGTGGTGGAGGCACGTTGCTCAAAGCTCTCAGTGTAAAACATAGAGCCAAAGATCCCGTTGGCCACAGACCCAAAAACACTATGAAAACTGAGAAAAGTGAGAGATCGATTAATCTGAAAGATAAAGTATTGAGTATGTATATGTTTACTGTATTTGTAAAGTAAATGTTTTTAATTTTTATTTTTAAAATGAAACAAATATTTCAAGAATATATTTTTAGATTTGGTGTATCTTTTTGTTCAGTAGGACTTAGATAAAGTTATTAAATATTACAGAGTTATTCTCTAATAGCCTACAAACATTTCTATGATTTATTAAAGAGTTTTCAGACATTTTGATACTTGACTTGTGAAAGCTGATTTGAAGTTTGTTATTTTTTCTAGCCATATTTAGAAGGAAAATTTCAAATATATTAAAATCAATATGGAACTATTTGGATTTTAGTAGCTTTCATGTTATGTGATTTAATAAAATTTTAATTTGACATTTATGTTCTCTCTCTTTGTTGTGAAAAAGTTAGATGTGTTTTAGTACTTAAAATTAATGCTTTGCATCCGTCCACACGTGTAGCTGCTGGTCAGCTAATAGCCATGTCATCTCAGGACATGTTGCTTCAACTATTAACGATCTACTTTTAAATCTTTATTCTGCATTGCTTATTCCGTTTTAGGCCACAGTCTTGTTATTGAAATGAAAACAAAAAGAAAGGATGCTTATGGAGATGTATAAAATTGGCAAGATATTATTGTTGATCAATATCCTCCAGCTCTGTTCTAATGACAACATCCCATCTGTGTGTGTGTGTTGCTGTCCAACTGTCAGCAGACCAGGTCAGTTGAAATGGCAGAGAAACGAAAAACGGCAGACATCAGGTCGTTTTTTAATGCTCCAGAATGTCAAGTAAGTAGAAACTTGCATTTTGATAAAGACATCTATAAGAAAGAAATGAAATGCCTATGAAATTGTTTCTAAATGGTTTCATTAGGCAAAGTCCAGTCACTTGAGCACAGGCAGCCAGAGCCTGTCAGACACAGGCACAGAGTCTCAGGTCAGTCTATTATAAGGATATACAGTGTTGTATGAAGAGAGCATTTTTTTCATGTCCCCCCCAAAAATTACTCTCTGAAGTTTTACTGTTTATTGTCCTCCCCCCCCCCCCCCCCCCCCCAAAATTGAAATGGGATTTCCGCCCTTGCTTACGCCCGACTTTAATCAACTGCAGTTCAAAGGAAGCAAAGTGACCAGAGGTTGTAGAGCTACATGGAAGACGGTCTCTGAAAACAACAGCTAGGCCTCCACCATGACCAGAACCCCGGGGCTGGCTAAGAAAAGAATAACCACTCGGGCAGAGTTCAATCAGACCAGAATAATCAGATGTTTGCTGCCAAACTTCAGGCAGAAACAGAAAATCCAAGTTTTTAGAGAGAATTAAATCATTGAGCAGGAAAGACTTATTGTTAACAGAGCAGGTATTTAATAGAGCCATGCTGAGTGAGGTGGAGGAATCAGAAACTACAGAAAGAGCTGGAGTTAGTGGACGTAAATAAGCAGGGTTAGATCCACAGTGTTTATAAAAACCACTTATGGAGGGAACAGGAGGAGAAACCACTGAGGAATGAGGATAAACCGACCTTAAAAAACTTGGATGGAGAAACCAAGCCGCAACGCGGCCTGGCGGGAATGCGGAAGTGGCGCTCAAATCACCAAACAAAGGACAAGAAGCTAGAAGATCACGCCAATGTTTACTAGATAAACCATGTTTTAAGAGAAGTCTTATTCTCACCTGGATTCCTGCTCGTTTACCTCTTTTCCTCCGACGTTTTCCCGGGATCGGATAAACATCGCTGGAGGCGCGCTGGGGGCCAGTGCGCCACTCAGATAAACAAAGGGAGGTACGTCCTCGGTGCATCTTGGGCGATCGTGAACGAACGGAAGGACAAAAGAGTCTGGCGATCATAGGAGATGGTAGCAGGGACTCTACTGAAGAAGATCGCAGACAGGAGCAAGGTGGAAAAGAGGAGGTTAGTGGAGAAAAGTTTGAAAAAGTGGCCGGTGACTGCGGCTAAGCCAAGCACAGGCGCCATCTTGTTACCGACTTGGTCTGTTGGAT